GGCACCACCCGCGGAAGAGAGGCAGCCAAGCTGAAGCGTGTCCTGGCCGGGATTTAATCTGAGGGGTTGGGCTCAGCCCCCTCATTCCCTCCCACCCCCCCCACCCCGATACCTTTTTTTAAAGACCTGTACTAAAATCGGTTTTAGTAGGAATTGTCAGACAGTTGCCCCACGCCGCCCCGCAGCCAGGCGCATCGCAACCCCGGGTGCAGCTATCCCCGCTCTTTGAGAAAGCAGAAAGCGTGGGTACAGCGTGCGTCCCTCCTGCTGCCGTGCACTCAGGCAGACGGTCAGCTATGTATTATATTAAGAATTTTTAATGGATACAGCTCTAGGCAGGTGTCACCAGCTAAAAAAACAGAGTTCCAGGGAGAGCAAGAGGGAGGATGAACCACATCTTCAGCAGCAGGCACAAGGCAGAGACTTGACATTTCTGTAACAGCAGCAAATTTGTGTGTCGATTGGAGCCGTGTAATTGTCTTCCCAGGGAGACGGTAAGTGGCTGTGGCTCCCTGTCTCTCAGCCAAGCCGAATCACGCTGTGCTGTCACTGCTACACGGTTTTGCTTTTGCAGAACTGTCCTTGGGCAGCAAGGGGAGCCCCTGTCGTTACACTCCTGTAGCACCGCAGCTCTCGTGCCCCACTTCTTGGGCAGCTTTTGTGCAGAATTAAGGGGGCAGATGGGTTGGTTTGTGGTAGGAAAATCTTGTCCCCCTTCCAGACCACTGGACCCACTGGAGATGATGCTGGGGGAAAACAATGTCTATGGCAGTGTTACAAAAGACGTTAGCAAACTTGATTTCCAGCACTGTGAGCAGAAGAACACAGGTAAAACAGGTTAAAAAGTGAAGCGGGCTCCAGCCTGGGGACTCGTTTCTGGTCTTATGGGAGTGACTTCAGCTGCTGCCTGGAGTCGGGGCACAGCCAGCGCAGGGTGGGCTGAACAAGGCCGTGGCTCTGCTGCCTGTGTGGCCGTGGCCGCACAGACCATGGCCATGGCTGCTCAGCCCAGCTGGCACGGGAGCGCGGGGTGAACGCACATGCCTTTCCTTTAAAGGCGATAGAGCTGCGACCTCTGCCACCCAGTGGGAGCGACATGGCAGGAGCTGGCCGTGTCCAGCTGCTCCCCGTCCAGCCTGGTGCCACCAGCCAGCTCCAGGCCTCTCCAGTGGGGAGGGTGTGCGGGTGCTGATGTGGGGGATGTGGCTGCAAGTGTCACCTCCCTGCCCAGTGCACTGCCATGCCCCCCAGCTCCTGGGACTGCCAGCAGCTGGGCTGGTTTATAGCCAAACCTGGCGACATCCAGTAAGCCAAGCAGAGCAGGGGCAGGACACAAAGACCAAAGCTGTGGGTGGTGGCAACCTTGCACTACCCTGAAGCAGGGGAACAGCAAGAGCAGAGGTGCTCTTACCCTGCAGCAGGCAGAGGATGCTCCACCTGCCTGCCAGGAGCTGGTTAAGGGTCCAGTTTTGCTTCTGCTTGGCCCCAGTTTAGCCCTCCCAGCTGCAAACTCCCTTCCCCTGGGAAGCAAGCAAGCTGCATGGCCTCCAGTGAGCAGCTCTCTGCCTGGCTTCACCAGGATTCATCTCTGCACCTCTGTGACCACAGCACGAGAGCATTGCGCTGCAGGGTGCTGTACAGCAGGACCAGCTTCCAACATGCATGCAACAGCCTCTCTCATCTGCTGGGGCAGGAGAGACTGCTGGGTGTTACAGCTTTGGTACGTTACATACTTGATAAGCTGTCCCTCCCTGGTACGCTGTGCTGTAGTGGGGAAGAAGGGATGGAGGGACGTGGCTAGCATGGAGGAGATCTGTGATGGTTCTTCATTCACTCCGTGATGATTCTTCATTCACTCCGTGATGACAGACCAACCCTGTGATGGCTCCATATCCTTCACACAAACATCGGTGGTCCCTGGTAGCTGGTTGTCCCCCACCCCAAGGACAGAGCTGGTGGCTAAAGTCATGCCACAGAGCACTCGGGACGCTGAGCCTGAACTGGTGCAGATAAGGATCTGGGCTGTGATATTGTATGGAGGGCAGCGTGAAGAGCAGCAGGAGGGATCAATGCTGGTGAACGCATGGTGTCCTTTGCTCTGCCATTCCCTGTGCAGGGGGACATGGAGGTGATGGGGCAGTGGCCAGGGACCTGTCACTGTCACTTTGAGCAGCCCTTGGGGAGGCTCCGCAAAATGTCCTCCAGGTTCTGCTTGTTGGCCCGGATCTCGGCCTGCCTCCACCTGCGCAGCCTGCTCCAGGTTGCCTGGGCAAGAGGAGAGGACACGGGTCAGAGGCAGAGAGCTGGGCAGGAGAGGCTCTGACATGCTCCAGGGGCTCAGACCCTCAGCACCAGGCAAACTGGTGCAGCGGGGCATGGAGGCATTGCAGCTTCCCACTGCTCTCAGATAAGCAAATAGGACTGTGGCTCCAGGGAGGGCCTGGGCACGTCTCTTACAGATGGGTGATGATTTTCATCCTTTTGCCAGACTTCTTGGACACAGGAGTCCTGGAGCGCTCAGAAACGTACCCAGATGATCAAAGCAGGAGGAGCTGGAGCAAAACCAACCAGCAACAAGGAGCAAACCCAGCCCAGAACCGTCCTGCTCCTCCTGGAGATGCCAGAGGCAATCAATGTCCCCACACCAAGCATAAGCAAGCCCCAATTCATTCTGCACGATGGCTTTCCTCGAGATGTGAGCCCTCAAGAAGCTTTGCTAAGACCCTGAGCCATCTCTGCCGAAGGCCAGCCAGCTCAGCCCAGATGGCCAGTGAGCAGGAGAGCCAGCACCAGCGAGCAGGAGAGCCCCCGGTCCCCACAGCCTGGCCCTTCCCCGGGAGCCTGCACCCTGCTCCCATGTGGGTCTCACCTAGGCTGCTCAGAAGGTCGTTCAGGGTCTCGATGTCCGAGATGAGTGAGCCCCGGGCTTCCTGGAGACTTTTTGCCATCTCCCTCACCTCTGTCCCCACCTTCCAACACAGACAGACACCCAGATCAGGGACATCATTGACCCATGGCTGGACAGGAGATGGGAGGGAATCCCAGGAAAAGCCCAAGGGATTCTCTGTACAGTGGAGCCCAAAATCCCAGTTGCTCTCTATGCTCTGGGATGTGGGCAAAGCCTGTTCCAGGCTCTGGCGAACACCAGCTGCCCGAGGGGACCCAACTTACCTGGTGTGCTTCCTCCAGGTCCCCCCTTAGCTTCTCAGCCACACGCTCCTGCCGGGAGAGCTCCCGCCGGGTGTCATTGGCATGCATGGCAAGCTGGCTGGTGTGCTTGCGGGCCTGCTTGCCCTCCTGAAGCACAGCCTGTGCCCTCTGCAAAGGGATGGAGATGGGGACAGTCACCTGGGGACGTGCAGGGGGACTGTGGCTGGTTCCCAGGCTGGGGCCCTGGTCGGGTGCACCCCTCCAGTCTGCTCACAGTCAAGGGTGGGCTGTGCTGGAGGGGCAGCAGAAGCTGTATTTGGGAGCTCTGCACCCCTGCCTGCAACAGGCTGGGCTCTGCCTGTGACGGCTGCCAGCCTGGCTGTGCCCCACAGCCCAGCATGGGCTCCCTGCACCCCACATCCCTCCGCTCGAACCTTGGCACTCTCCCCAGCGATTTGCTCAGCCTCCCCGGCCATCCTCTGGGCTGCAGTGGAGGTGGACAAGGAGTTTCCCAGTGTCTTCTCTGCCTGTTTAATCTTCCTCTGGGCCTCCGCCATCGCCCTGTCCCGCACAAGTGTCATCCTCCTGCTCAGGGCAGCCTGGCCCTTCCGATGCCCCAGCACCTTCCTCATACCTGCGGGGACAACCTGGCTGACACCGAACTGGCTTTTTCTCCCCTTGGCATCCAGAGTGGTGAGAGCTGAGCTGTGGCCAGAGATGCTCTGGCCGGTGCCCTTTACCTTCTAAGCTGGCCACGAGGGACTTGGCATCAGAAAGCACGGCTTTTCCACGCGAGATGGCCGAGGTGGCTGTGCCATGGGCAGAGCCAGCCTGGTCCCGCAGCTGCGGAGAAGAGAGCATGAGTGAGGCTGGGGAGGGGGCGAAGAGCTGCACCCAGCTGGGAAATGTGGGACCCATTTGGCGGGCGAGCTCCTCAGGAGATCCAGGAGCCCGAGGGGAGACTTCTCCCAAAGCATCTGCTCCCAACCCCCTGGCTGCAGGCATGGTCCCTCTGGTCGCTGGAGCAAGGGGGCTGGGACTCACCCACCCCACTGTGCCCTGGGTGGGAGGCAGGAGAGGGATGCACCCAGCATGCCCACGGCTCTGGCTGGAGCAGGGGGTCCCCATCACTTCTTTTGCAGGGACAACCCACGTGAGCCAGCAGCAATCACCTGCTCGAAGCCGTGAGTCCTTTGCAGCTCCTGGCGCAATCTGGCTGCCAGAGCACGGGACGCCTCGATGGCATGCTGAGCCGCCGGCTCCCGTGCCCGCGCCGCCTGCTCCCGCGCCGCCAGGTCC